TATACTTTTATTGGTCTTGGCATGAAGCAAGCTTTTTGACCTATAAGCTGATTGGCTTTGGCAAGGGATAAAACAGTTAATTGCAAGTGTGTGGTTGGAATATACCCAACCGTCTGGGTCAGCCCGACTGTTATGAGTTTCTCAAGGATTATTTTGACATTGAGGTTTTATGGGCTGGCCGATTGACCTTTTCTCTAGAGGGAACTAAAAACTGAGGCCTTGTCTATCCAAAATGTTTTCTGAAGCCTGACTAAAGTTTAGTCAAGTGATCTCTAGTTAGGCATGATCAGCTGGGTCCTTACAGTAGTATATGATCAAGTAGTTGGTATTGATGGGAGAAATCCAAGCTGCCCTAAAAATACTGGCAAACAAGAAGGCTTCTGGAATTGATGAATACAAGCTGAAATGCTTCAGCAACTGATGCAGTGCTGGCCACTAGTCTATGCCATGAGCAGCTACCTAGCCAGCTAAGTGGAAGAGATTCATAGTTGTGCCCATTCTGAAGAAAGATGACCCTCAATTGGCAAACACAGTGTTCTACATCCTACTTCAGTGTGCAGTGCCTGAGATCTTAAAAGATTATGAGTAACCATCTAAGGTGCAACTATTGGTCCTTTCTGCCTGGTGGAAAGAAGAGTGATGAAAATTGGAGGTGTTTAGAAACAATTAGTCCTTTGTAAACATCAGTCTCCATGACCTTAAGACCAGAAGAACTAGATGGTTCCTGGTTACCACTACCAACTTCTCTGAGAGGGATCATATTAGAAGGTTCTAGATAGAGCAGGAGAAAACGTGGAACAAAAATCAGAATCATAAAAAATTCCAGACTTACTGGTTAGATAAAGACTGGTTGAAACCCTGAAACTATGGCTCTTGGTCTGGAATTGAACTCACCCCAGTGGTTTGATTTTCAGCCAAGTAATAATAGGTATATAGGGAGAACAGTAACGCGCCCTGGTGTGGCACTATAGGATAAGTACAGGACTGGTAATCACAAGATTGGCAGTTCACACCCACCAGCCACTCTTAGAAACCCTTTGAGGTCTTTATGAGTCAGAATGGCCTCTACAACATTCAACAACCAGGGAGAATAATAGCAATAGGGAGGTATGCATACCATAGAATGATCAACTGTTTGAGGTCAAAAGGGCAGCATTTACCCAAGGACAAAGTGCAGAGGGTTGGGAAAGAAGGAGGAATGGAAGCAAACACAGTGATGAAGTGGGACAGGCGATGTTACAATGAGGGGATTGAAGTTATTGAGATGAAACCACAAGGTCAGCAGTTAAAATTCACCAGTCACTCCTTAGAAACCCTATACAGGGTTGCTATGACAACAACAAGGGTTAGTGTTGGGGTAGGAGTTGGGCTATGGCTAGGAGAAAGCTTGGTCTAGTTTTAAGGTTACAGTTAGGTTTGTTTATATATTTTTAAATTGAAATCTACTTGTTTTCCTCTTTATTAGGAAGTTCTGTAAGTACATTATTCCCTTTTTACTTTATGGATTTCTGGATTGAGTACTGGGTTATATTGTTATGTATGTTAGTCTCAGGTTGTTGTCTGCTCTTGGTTCTCTGTCCAAAGGAACTCTAGTATTTTTTGTAAAGTTGGTCTGGTGTTTGCAGTTTTAAAAAAATTCTGTTTACTTGAAAATGTCCTAATTTCACTGTCATATTTGATGGACCATTTTGCTGGGTACCTAATTCTTGGTTGGTCATTTTTTTCTTTCACAATTTTATATGTCTTCCCGTTGTCTTCTTGCCTGCATGGATTCTGCTGAGGAGTCAGAGTTTAGTCTTATTAGTTCTCCATTGTAGGTAACTTTTCAGGTTTCCTGAGCTGCTATCAGGATTCTTTCCTTGTCTTTAGTTTTGATAAGTTTGATAATAATGTCTTGGTGATTATATTTTAAGGTCTACCCTGTTTATATTTTGACTTCTTGAGTGGCTGTCTTCTCATCTTTATGTTACAGAAGTTTTCTTCCAACAACTCTTGGACAATTTTATGTATATATATATATATTTTTTTTTTGTCTCATACTGTATCTTCTGGAATTCTAACCACACATAAATATTATTCTTGATAGTGTCCCACTGAAATCTAAGACTTTCTTTAGATTTTCTTTTTTTAAGGTTTTTATTGTGGATTCAGTAAAAGTTTACCGGGCAGACCATCAGTTTTACATTCAACAAATCATACACCTTGTTTCATTACAATGATTATAATTCCCTCCATGTACCATCAGTTAACAGTATTTCTATCTATTCACTTTAGCTTTTTTTTTTTTTTAAATAAAAATAAAACCACTCAGGCATATATGATAATTTACACCTCAAAAGGGCACATTCTGCAAGTTTGCCTCTTGGCCACTGGCCAGTTTCTCTTTCCATGAATCTAGAGTCCTCAGCTGCTCCCTCTCTCCATGACCCCATCTCTGCCTCCGTCTCTGGCATCGCTGCTTCTCTGGATAAGCCCCTGCATTCTGCTTGTACTCTTCTCCCTTGATGGTCCTAGGGTCCTCTGTTTCTGGACTATAAGATTAACCACTCCTCTTTTTTTGTTACAAAACAGAAGTTTATAAATGTGACATTCGCAATTTTTCATGATAACAATTAATTCACTATTGAATCATAAGAATCTTATCCCCATCTCTTTTCACCAGACCCATCTAGACAAGATGAAAACTATTCAGTGGGGTCTCTTTCTTCCCCCCTCCCCATACTCTTAAACTAATCTCCCTCTTGAAACCTTGTAAGCCAGTCACTTCATGCCTTTATCACCCTCTTATTTTAGGTAGCCCATGTCTAATTTGCCTGACCCTATTTACCCTGTGTACAGAGGAGGTAGCATTGATACTTGATGTGAAGACACCTTTCCTCTCTGTTGGTATTTAAAGTTACTACCCCCATTGAGTACAGGTCAGGTTCATCAAATTGTAGCAATCTACCCTCGTTTCCTTTATTAAAAAAAAAAAAAAGTTTTTTCTTTAGATTTTTAAATTTCATTTTCTGATTGTTCCTCTAGCAGATGAACATTGAAAGATTTGTCTTCAAGCTCAGTAATTCAGCCTTCCATTGATTCAATTCTACTTTGCCTTTTAAATGTGCTATTTCTGAAGTCTTGTACTGATTTTCTGGCTTTATAATTGCTGTTTTTGTATGGTTTCCAAGTTTTCATTTATTTTGTCAATTTGTTTTTGTAGTGTTTTCCTGAATTCTTCTAAAGTTTTTCCTTCTAAAATTTTTCCTGTGTTTTTCTTGCTTTCCTTGATATTTTTCTCCAACTGTTGAAGGTATCTTAATGTCTTTAAATTCTTTACCAAGTAGTTATGATACCATTTCTGGTATTATATTTTCTGACTGTATTTTGGTTACTTGTTTGAGGCACTTTGTCTTGTTTCTTTGTGTAAACTAAAATTGTCTTTTTCTGTGAAACTTTGTGGTGGTGTTACATTTATATCTAATTGATGATTGCATGTTAGAATGTTCTCAGACACTCACCACCTGTCTCCTGGTAAATGTGATAAGAGACCAGAAGTGTGAACACAGTTCTCTCTTTGATATTTGTGTAGCATAGTTCAGGGCATGTTCATGCTTCTCCAGAAGCAGAGGTGGTACTCCCAGCACCTGACTCTAGACAGACTAGAGGCTGCAAATGATGGAGTGCTACTAGCCACTGGGTTGGTGAGAGCAGGGACTGTACCCACCCTTGGCTAACAGGTGAGCATGGAACAAGGGAGAACAGCACATGCTTTGCTAAGCAACAGCTGCTCACAAAAGCTCCAGATGGTCATGCTGCTCTATGCCAGTTGACAGCCTTTCTGTTTTTTCCTCTCTCCTGGCTCCTCTTTAGTTTCCTTTTCCAGCCAGCACTCAATCCACCTCTCTGTCCAATCCTCTGAAGCTCAAGGTTCCAGGATCATCACCTGCATCTGTTTCACACTGTATCCCATGTCTTTGTTGCATGGTGTCTGCTCAGGGCATCTGCCTATTCCGACATCTTGCCCTGGAAGTCATGAATCATGCTTTTTAAGGAAATCATTTTATTTTATCATCTTTGGACATTTGTTACTGTACTTTTGTTACCCAAAGATCTATGGATCCATAAATCCTTGTGTACTATGATACAAATATACCCTGCATGCAGGGAGAACAACAAAAGAGACATGTTATAGTGGACGGCAGTGAGCAGGCAGATTATGGACTAGGCTGAAGGCAGGGAGCTGGAGGAGGTCATGAGAGGGAAAATGCATGATGAGTTTAGGATTCTGAGAAGGGTCCAAAGGGAACAGACTAAATGCTGAAGTCAAGGTGAAATATATATTTTTATTTAAAAATATTATAACTTACAGAACTAGTGACATGATTCTTGAAGCTTGCAAGTTTATATAAATAATGTGCATATGTATTTTAAGTTGAAAGGTGACCTACCTGGAAAGCGAGGTTGGCATTTTCATGCATTCCAAAAACTTCAGGGTCATCTATCAAAGGCAGATGCTCAATGTACTCCTTAAACTCTTGTAGGCTGTCAGCCAAGGGTGCAAAATAGATGCCTGTTATTAAAAAGACAGAAGGTAGATATGCCTCACATAGACTGGCTTTATACTGCTGGGCTTGATACATCTTTGCCTGGTTCTGGTGGTCGCTGCAACCATGGGCCTCACATATGAAAGGGGATTGTTTTTCCCAAGTATCTTTGATTGTGTTGCTGTTACCTTTTAATGAGGCCTTGAGCATCTAATCAGTGTTTTAACTTCTCAGGTGTCTCCCCCAGAACATTTTAAGTTCAAGAGACTAGGGCTCTGCTGCTGAAAGGCCTGTCTCATTACAGGCTCTAAATTTATGCTGTGTCATAGACTGCCTTCACATTTGTTCGATAAACAATAAGAAACATCTCTAGTCTTCCAAACTAAAAGCCACGTTTGCAAAACATTGAACTGTAGGGTTACTCAACTGTCCATAGAGATAACAGGATAGACAGTTGAGTCTTATCAACTCTGAGGAGCAGTCTCTTTGAACTCAGTAGTGGGAGCTTTTATGTGCCTAGTATTATAATGAATCTGGAGTTAGAAAACCAAAGGGGAAGAACACACTCAGCATTTCTCAAGGTGAAAGAACTGAAAAAAAATTCAAGACTCCGGTTGAAGGATTCTATGCTGTGGGTTAATGCGCCAGACTGCAAAGCCATTTGAACTGCAAGGTTGGCAGTCAGTTCAATCTCACCAGCTGCTCCTTGGAAACCCTATACAGGGTCGCTATGGGTTGGAACTGACTCAATGGCACTTAACAACAGCAACAATGGGCAAAATATTGAATGATGCAGAAAATATCAAAAGATAGAAATTTATAGTCACTGTACCAAAAGAAAATGATAAATGTTCAGCCATTTCAAGAGGTAGCATATGATCAAGAATCAATTATACTGAAGAAAGAAGTCCAAGGTGCATTGAAGGCATTGGCAAAGAACAAGGCTCCAGGAATTGGTGGAATATAAATTGAAATCTTTCAACAAATTGATGCAGCACTGGAGGCGCTCACTCATTTATGCCAAGAAGTGTGGAAGACAGCTTCCTGGCTGACTGATTGGAAGATATCCATATTTGTGCCCATTTCAAGGACATGTGGAAATCAATATCATTAATATCATAGGCAAGTAAAATTTTCCTAAAGATAATTCAACAACAGTTATAACAGTACATTGATGGGGAACTGCCAGAGATTTAAACTGCATTCAGAAAAGGACGCGGAGCAAGGGATATCATTGCTGAGATCACATAAGATCTTGACTGAAAGTAGAGAATACCTGTGCTTTATTGACTATGCAAAGGCTTTCTACTGTGTGGATCATGACACGCTAAGTACAACACTGAGGAGAATGGCTATTGTGGAACACTTAAGTGTGCTCATGAAGAACCTGTACATCAAGCAAGAGGCAGAACAAGAGGACACTGAATGGTTTAAAATCAGGAATGATGGGAACCAGGGTTGTATTCTTTCACCATAATTATTCAACCTGTATGCTGAGCAAATAATCTGAGAAGCTGAATTATTCATTTCTCATACTTTGAACATGTTATCAGGAGGACAAGTCATGCTTGGTAAAGTGGAGGGTCTTCAAAAAAAAAGGAAGACCCCCAATGAGATGGATCATCACAGTGGCAGCAGCCATGGGCTCAAGTGTAACAATTGTGAGGCTGGTGCAGGCCCAGGCAGTGCTTCGTTCTGTTGTGCATAAGGTTGCTATGAGTCAGAACTAAGAGTTGTTAGTCAGCACTCAACAACAACAACAACTGTGCACTAATCAGCTTGCCCCCTCCAAGTGGGGTGACACTTCTTGTTGCCGACTCATAGTGACCATGTATAGGGTTTCCAAGGATTGGCTGGTGATCTTGAATTGCTGACCTTGTGGTTTAAACTGACCTTGCAGTCCAATGTCTTAACCCACAGTGCCACACCAGGACTCTGGGTCAACATTTAGGGACCATTAATCTACTTGCTGAGTGGATCTGTTTCTAATTCAACTCATGTAGTGGGCATTTTCTTTAATTACATTCCAAATATGTTAGAATGTAATTTTGAACACATTTGAATAAAAACACAACCAACTTTAAACAGAAATTCAAATTTGTTTCTGCACAATGTATATCCTCGTACTCTTACCACCAAACCAGCTTTGAAGTGGTCAAGCCTGGCAATGAGGTGGCTGTGGGGTCTGGTGGTGAAGACTGGATATAAAGAAGTTCTGGATGGATAACTGAGAGATGTTGCAAATGGCTTTCTATAACAATGAAAAGTCATTCACCTGATTCAGAATATTTATAATCAGCTTCTAATGTCTCAGGAGAAAAAAATTTTTTCAAGACAGTGCGAAGACATCTTTGATCCCAGGTGTCTGTAACTCTACCACCATATGTAATTTCACCTGAAAAAAAGTTTGCATTTTAAAATATTTTTGTTAATAAAAATAAAATTCTTTTGTTTTATTGATAAGAATATCCACATTATAATCACTTTATTTACATACATATTTGGTACTGCAAATGGAGATATCACATCAGAATTTCCTTCTATTCCCCTGGTGTAGCGCTGGAGTCCTGGTATAGCACTGTAAGATAAGCACTGTACCACAAGGTTGTTTGAACTGCAACGTTGGTTGTTCAAACTCACCAGCTGCTCTTCAGAAGCCCTATACACAGTCTCTATGAGATGGAACCAACTTGACAGCTCTTAAATAACAACAACAACCCTTCAAAAACAGAATGCAAATCAATGTTTAAAAAGCAGAAAAAAAAACTCATATAGTATATGTATATTAATTATTTTGGGTTTTCAAAATAATTTAAAATCATGGAGTTCCACATAGTCCTTCCTTCTTCTTATCCTTTTGCTTCAAAATCTTAATTTTGTGTCATATCCTATCACTGACCACAATATTCTAAAACAGACTCACTTTCTATGAAACAATGCTTCTCTTTGGGACCAATGAGAAAAATGGAATGAAAACATTTATAGTCAGATACTCAAGTTCTGTGTTGATGTTATTGTTAGGTGTCAGTGAGTAGGTTCCAACTTACAGCAACCCTACGCACAACAGAACCAAACAATGCCCGGTCCTGAACCATCCTCACAATTAGGTTTCAACCATTGTTGCTACCACTATATCAGTCCACCTCATTGAGTGTCTTCATCTTTTTTGCTGGCCCTCCACTTTGCCAAAGTGATGTCCTTTAGGGACTTGTCCTTGCTGAAGTTATGAGAGACGACAGTTCATCATCTTGATTTCTAAGAAGCATTCTGGCTGTATTTCTTCCAACACGGATTTGTTTGTTTTTTGGGCAGTCCATGGTACTTTTAATACTCTTCTCCAACATCATAATTCAAATGCAGCAATTCTTCTATGGCCTTCCTTCTTCACTGTCCAATTTTTACATGCATACAAGGCTATTGAAAATACCATGGCTTCGGTCAGGTGCATCCTAGTCCTCAAACTAACATCTTTGCTCTTGAACACTTTAAAGAGGTCTTTTGTAGCAAATTTGCCTAATGCAATACATCATTTGATTTCTTGACTACTGCTTCTGTGTGAGTGTTGATTGTGAATCCAAGCAAAATGAAGTTTTTGACAGCTTCATTTTTTCTACATGTATCATGATGTTGTTTATTTGTCTAGTAAGTGAGGATTTTTGCTTTCTTTTCATTGAGGTGCAAACTATACTGAAGGCTGTGATCTTTGATCTTCAGTAAGTACTTAAAGTCCTTATAGCTTCCAGCAAGGGAGGTTGTATCATCTGCAAATTGCAAGTTGTTAATGAGTCTTCCTCCAATCCTGCCTTTCAAGTTATTTACTTAGCATACAGATTGAATAAATTTGGTGCAAGAATATATAACCTTGGTTCACAACTTTCCTGATTTTAGAACATTCAGTATCCCTTTATTTTGTTCGAAGGATATCTTGGTCTATGCACAGATTTCTCATGAGCACAATTAAGTGTTCTGGAATACCCGCACAATCATTTAAAACCATTTGTATCACCACAAATAGAAGTTTCTTGTCCATTTGTGGTCCTTCCCCATTTCTACTTCTGCCCATTCAACCACTATTCTATTTGTTCTCTCTATAGGTTTGGTTTCCCTGGGACTTTCATATAAATCAAGTCATACAATATGTGGCTCTTTTATGTATGACATCCCTGACTTAGCATAGTTTCAAAGTCCATGTATGTTGCATCATGCATCAGTACTTTATTACTTTTTATGACTGAGTAACATACCACATTTTGTTTACCTGTTTAACAGCTGATGGACATGTAGATTGTTTCCACTTTTTGGCTATTGTGACTAATGCTGTTATAAACATTTGTGTGGAAGTTTTTGTGTAGACATATGCTTTTGACTTATTCTGGGGATGTACCTAGGAATGGACTTTCTGGGTCATATGGCACTGTGGGCACTGTCTAACTTACTGGACTGTAAGGTTGGTTTGAACCAAAAGGTCAGCAGTTCAAACCCATCAGACACTCTTCTGAAACCCTATACAGGTTTTCTGAATGAGTCAGAAGTGACTCAACAACACTTAATAACAACAACAAATGGAAACTATTTTACGTGACCTAAAGAAAGCAGCGCCACCACCTTACAAACACACGCCCAGCAGCAATTTCTAGATGCCAATCCCTCCATACCCTTGCTAACCTTTTCTATTCTCTATCCCTGCTTAGTGGAGTCCTTGTGCGGCACTGTGGGCTAATGCGTCAGACTGCAAAGTTGTTTGAACTGCAAGGTCGACAGTTCAAGGTCACCAGATACTCCTTGGAAACCCTCTACAGGGTCGCTATAGGTCAGAATCGAGTCGACAACACTTAACAACAATGACATTCCTGCTTAGTAGATGTGAGGAAAATAGTATCTTCATTATGGCTTTAGTGTTCATTTCCCTACATCCCAGTGTGGCACTGCAGGTTAAGAACTGGACTGCAAATCACAAGGTTGGTGGTTCAAACCCATCATCTTCTCATGAGAAACCCTATACAGGGTTGCTATGAGTTAGAAATGGCATGATGGCACTTAACAACAACGACTAATTGAGGATCCTTGGTGACACAAGAATGAAGCACTTGGCTGGTAACTGCAAAGTTAGAATATACTTGCTCTGTTGGAAAAAGATAGGGCAGTCTGCTTCCTTAAACTTTGGTATCTATGGGGGTAGTTCAACTCTGTCCTGCAGGTTGGCTGATGGAGGACAACGGGTTAGTGACTAATTGTGCACCTTTTCATACATTTATTGTCTGTTTGTTATTTAAATGCTTATTCAAATCTCCTGTTTTAAATCTCTTGTTACTCATAGCGACCTTATAAAGAGTTTCCAAGGAGCTACAGGTGAGTTTGAACCACCCACCTTGTGGTTAGCAGTCCAGTGCTTATTCTAGAGTGCCACACCAGGATTCCTTGTTATTGAGTTATAAAGAGTTGTATCTTTGGATACAAGTTCACCATCAGGCATATGATTTCCGTATTAAGTTCCCCATTCTGTAGCTTGCCTTTTCACTTTCTCTGATGAGTTTGTTGAAGCGCAAAAGTTTAAAGTTTTGATTGCATTCAGTTTGTCATTTTTTACTTTTTATTGCTTGTGGTTTGATGCTGTATCTAAAAAAAAAAAATCAATGCCTATACTAGTTCACAAAGATTTACTGCTGTGCATTCATCTATGAGTTTTGCAGTTTTTAAGTCTATCACTCATTTGATTTAATTTCTGTGTATGGTTTTAGATAAGCATTTAAATTTATATTTTTGCATGTAGATATCCAATTGTTCCAGTACTATCTGTTGAAAAGACTATCCTCATTGAGTTGTCTTGGCATCTTTGTCAAAAATCAATTGAACACAGATACAAGGATTTAATGCCAGACTCCTAAAACTGTTCCAATGACCTCATCGTCTATTCTTGGTTCAACAACAAACTGTTGTGACTATTGTAGCTTTGCAATTGAAAACTGAAACATTTTCAACTTAAAATTGTTTTTGTAAATAGGAGTCTCTTGAATTTCCATATGAATGTTAGTATCAGCTTGTCAATTTTTGCAAAACAGATGCCATTTTAATAGGGAAAGCATTGAATCACTCTGGGGAGTATTGCCGTCTGGACAATAATGAGTCTTCCAGTCCAGCAGCATGGACATTTCTTCATTTATTTAGGTGATCTTTAATTTCTTTCAACATTGCTTTGCAGTTTTTAGTGCAGAATTCTATGCTTCATTTGTGCAATTTATTCCTAAGTATTTTATTCTGATGCTATTATAACTGAATTTAAGAAATTTACTTTTGGATTGAAATTGGTATTTATACATTGTTCTTGTATCCTGTGACCTTGCTGATCTTGTTTATTCTAGTTACTTTTAATTGCATATAAGATTATGCCATCTGCAAATAAGCACAGTTTACTTCTCCCATTTCAGTCTGGATGCCTTTTGTTTTCTTTGTCTAGTTTCCCTGGCACCCCCAATACAATGGTGATTAGAAGTAGTGAGAACACATACATCCTCTTTCGCTTTGAACTGCAAGGTTGGAGGCTCAAGTTCACCAGCTACTCCAAGGAAGCCCTACACAGGGTCGCTATGGGTTGGAACTGACTCTTAACAACAACACTTAACAGCAGCACTTAACAACAACAACAAAATCCTGCTGTGGTGCTGTATGATAAGCACTTGGCTGTTAACTGCAAGGTCGGTGGGTCAAACACACCCGAGCGCCTCCAAACCCTATACAAGGTCTCTATGAGTCAAACCAACTCAACGGCACTTAACACCATCTTTTTTTTTAGTTTCTACATCAGTCAAGGCTGAGATCACTCAAAAGGTCAGTTGTTCTAGGAGTAAAGGAAGGGAGAGAAAAACAAGGAATGGGAAAAATCAGTTAGTAGAGGGTGCCAGTGAAAAAGTCTGTCTAATCACCATTTTGCTCATTGATCTTGGATCCATTAGAGTGACTTTCTGATTGGCCTCCCAGATTCCAGCCCTCCCCTCTTGAATGTCCTGGAGACTGGTCTTCATCCATCATCAGTGCTATTTCCATCCTCTGCTCAAACCTGTTCCCAGGATTCATCTGCCATTGAAAGGTCCCCTGATGCCCTCCATATTCTCCATTTCACTTCATTCTGATTGATGAAAACTGCCCATTTCCACACATCGGTTTTCTCCTCAGCCCTTTTCTGAGCTCTCTCCTCCCACATTTTAATGCAAAGCTTCTTCCCTTATTACTTGGGACCACCTGGTCAGACTGTATCTTGTTCTGGCAGTAGTGGTGGTGGTGGTGCTGGTGGCGGTGTGCCGTGGAGTCTGTTCTACATGTCCATAATTAATATTTGCCAAGATTGTAACTTCTGAAAGATTTTAATAAATACACTGAATTCAACAGGGCTCTATTTGTTGACTAATATTTACATTCTTTTGCATTTAAGAGCTCTAATTCTGTAGGCTAGACTGTTTGCATTCAAATATTGGCCCTACTACTTGTAAACTGTAAGGAGCTTTGGTAGAGTAGCAGTTATGAGTTGGGCTGCTAACCTCAAAGTCAGCAGTTCAAAACTGCCAGCCGTTCCGCGGGAGAAAGATGAGGCTTTCTGCTCCCGTAAAGATTTACAGACTCAGAAACCCTGCACAGGGTCACTATGAGTCGGAACCGACTCCACAGCACACCACCACCACCACTTGTAAACTGTGTACCTCACTTTCCTCATGTATAAAATGAAAGTAATAATAGTCTTCACCTTACGAAGTTGTTGTGAGGATTCAATATGCTAATTCATGGGAAATGCAGGAAACAGTGCCTAGCATGTAGCAAGTACTATATTGTTGATGCTGTGCTGTTGAGTCAGTTTCAACCCATGATGACCCTGCATAGGGTTTCTGAGGAGCAGCTGGTGATCTTGAACTGCTGATAGTCTGGCACATTAACCCACAGCGCCATACCAGGGCTCCAAGAACTATCTAAGTGTTGTATATAAATGTTTGTTATTATTTCTCTGCTCCATTTCCATGTGTAAATATTTTAATGATGTTCATGTCGTAGTTTCTTATCACAGTCTGATCTTCACAAATGGAATATGAGAAGTCCACAAGGGGAAAATACTCTCTTTCCAGAGGAGTGGCTGGTGGGGTTGAACTGCTGACCTTGTGGTTACTAATCCAGTGCTTATTCTAATAGTGCCATACCAGGACTGCCCCTATGGTTTAGGTGGGCATAAACTAACAACTTTCTAGCGCACAGCTGATGCTCAGGCATACTGACCAGTGATGTAAATCAAAGCATCCCAAGGGATCTTTCCTTCTTGACAGTAAAGGTTGAGGTTCAGCAAAGCACATTCCCTATCACTGTCATTAAATTCATAGCAGATATTCCAACCAAGAGGGCCAAACTTTTTTCTCTCCTGGAATAGACAATGAAAAAGGTTTTAAATGAATATTGATCAAGTTAATTTTGTGCAAAATACTGAAGTCAAAGGTTCCTTTTGCTGTGGGACAGGCATCCTCAGATTGAAAAATCTGTAAAAACCTCAGGTTTTTCCCATAGACACAGAAACAGGGGAGGCATTTTCCCTCTACTACTTCTCTCTCCCCTATCTTTCTAACAGAAACTTTGTTAACTACTAGAAATTTGATTTCGCTGTTCTTATTGTGTGCTGTTGAGTCGGTTCCGAGTCATACCGACCCTGATTAGGGTTTCCAAGAGCAGCTGGTGGGTTTGAACTGTGCTTATCCTACAGTGCCACAGTTAGCAGTCCAATGCTTATCCTACAGTGCCACACCAGGACTAGGAAATGTGATAGACCTGTCAAAAGAACAGTTGTTCTTAAAGGTAAATAACACATTTTCTCATCAAAATGGGGAAAAAAGACTTCTGAGACTTTTGATATAAGAGTATTGACTCTGCCCACTTTTCAGTCATGCCATGCTATGCTGATTAAAAACATTTGATATACAGATGCATGATCCTTGTCATATACATCCTATAATGAAATATTTTCCTCTCTTGCTATTTCCTTATTTTTGTTGTTGTTAAGTGCCATCAAGTCAGTTCCAACTCACAGCAACCCTGAACAGAGTTTCTGAGGTGTGGCTTGTGAGTTTGAACTGCCGACCTTGTGGTTTAGTGCTTATCCTACAGTGCCACACCAGAAATCCATGCTTTTTCCTTATCCTGCCTTAATTGCTTATTTCTGAAATGATGGATAGATCAGTAGATTGGTCCCATATTCCTTCCTCTTGATCTCAAAATTTCCCAGCCCCTCATCTCAGCTGCTTTTGTTGTTGAACGAGGAACTTACACTCTGAGCCCTTGATCCCATTCCGCTGGGCCTGCTCTAGGACTTTGTTCACTTAATTATCCCATAGCTTGCATCCTTAATATTTTTCTTTTCACTATTTCTTTTTCTGCATGTAGTATTTATGTGTAAATCAGGCAGTCTAATTAAGACATTATCTAGAGATAAGTAAGCATAGAGTCTGAATTCAATTACAAGGCCACAGGATGGATACCCGAGCTGAGCAGTGAAGTGTGAACAGAGGGCAGGAGAAAGTGGTGCTAGGTTGAAGGTCATCTTTCTGGAGACTTGATGCTTCAGTCACAGATGGGGAGGAAGATGTTAAGGGTGCTGAGCCCACTCAGATGGGACCAGATAAGAGTAAATTTATTGCAAGAGGACTTGGTGAAGGACAAGATATATACGTGTGAAGAAGGAAGCATAAAAACAATCCTGAAGTTTTGATTGAAGATGAGTGAGAGAAATAGGGTCTGGAAGAGAAGCAGATTTTGGAAATGAGGCAGTGCTGAGGGTATCAATTTGTGCTTGTTGAATCTGACTTACTGCCTTCATCCAGGTGATGGTTTTCAATGACAGAGATCAGAGATAGGAGGAGCCAGAGCTGTGAGATACTGCGACAAGAGGGTATGGAGATCTGTGACCAAGTTAAACCATTTTGGAATCAGACATAGAACAGAGTCCTCCGAATTTCCCAATGTCATTTGTAACCTTTCATTGACTTTTTACTTTTTAATTGACAAGAGTGTAGTTTTTTTTTTTAAGTTTGCTGACTTGGTCTATTTATTTAATTGTTTAACTTTTTATTGTAGCTTGGGTGAAAATTTACAGAGAAAATGAATGTTCCTCTCAACACTTTGCAACTCCCTCAATATAACTGCACTCTCCCCACTTCCTCCCTTGGCCCCATGTTTCCATTCAAGCTCTTCCGTGCTTTCTGCCCTCTGAGCTTTGTTTTGGGGCAAATGCTGCCCTTCTGGCCTTGTACTGAGGAGTGCATTCCTGCCTGGTGTTAGTATTCATTTTATAAGCCGGTCTGTTGTTTGGACGAAAGTCGATCGCAGGAGGTGGGTTTAGTTCTGGGATTGAAGTGTGTCTAGGGGTCATCATCTCAAGGGTTCCACCAGTCTTTATCTGATCTTTTTTTATGATTTTTAAATTTTATTCTAAGAATACACTTTCTTGTTGCTATGAAAAATCAGAAGTGAGTATACCTGAATAATTGCATGAAAGAAACAGATGCCAAATATTATTTGTCTCCATTTTCTTCCAAGTATATTTTCTTCAAAAAATGAAGGTGTCATTTCGGTAAATGCTCGTCTGATATTTGCACGTAAGCCTTTTGGAGGCTCATTAGTCACCTGGATTGAGATAAACATTCATGGCAGAAAGTTTACCAATTGACATTATTTCAGAATAACGCACAGAGATGGAAGCTATGGGTATCCATCCACGGCATGTTGCAGCCTGCTTTGTGTCTCACTCAGTCACTGTCCTAGAACAGTAGGACCTGACTGTGTCCTTAGACCACAGTGAATGAACCATTGGTACAAGGCCCTTAGATTCTTCTTTGGTGCTCATTTCTCTCAACATAGGCTAGAAACATGCTCAGGCCTTTTCCATTGGATTTTCCTGGCATCCTTATATATGGCAATGTCCTACTCTTTCCATTGATAACATAGAGTAGGGAGTAGAGAGGTACCCTTTGGTACTGGGTGATTATTCATTGCAGAGGCTTCCTACGTATTGGAACATTCTGCATTGAAATCTGTATCACATGTGCCTTTCTGTTTCTTAAGTGCTGAAACAGTTCCTTACCTCTGGGAGGGGTTCCAGTCTCATATTTTGATGTTTTCTTGTAGAGTGTAAGAGGGGGAAACATTGAATGACCAACAGGACTATAACATGCAAGAACAGGAAATGGCTTGGGAAATGTTTCCCTTCTTGCTACAGATCAAAAGATGTTGGCTTCCACCTCCCCAATTTGGATGCACAGACCCCCAACATGGTCCTGTGAGGGGCTTGAACTCACTGAAGCCGCTCATCTGACATTGCTCCAATCAGACATACGTTACCTTGACAGAATTCTGAAGAACGGTCACAGGAAATGTGTTACTAGGCATGGAACTTAAAAATAGTCGAAAAGTGTCCTTGATAATAATATCTGTTTAAAACAAAGACAAAATAAGAAATTGCTTAACTCTTAATAACAATTTTCTATGAGAAATGATCATTATAGGATAGAAAAAATGCTATAAATCCTGTTTAAGGACCTAGTTTATGTATGTGGTAAAATATTTTAAAGTGGGGATGGGGAGATGTTTCTGGAAACTTCACAGCAGAGGGGCTTGACAGTCTAGAAGTTGGCACATTTGAGTAAAGAAAATTGGGGCATTTCTTTTCAATATTTGACTGGGCTATTAAAAGATTTGCCTTTGAAATGGGAAAACTCTTCAAATGAAAAAGATGTTACTGCTGGTACATTTTTACTTTTCTCCCTGTGAAATTTAAGGCAGATTGCATGAAATTGGTCCAAAAGTCTCCCGGCAGCAAAGGGAATAAGTTAGCAGAGCTACAGTGAGACCTCTCACACGCACAATAAGAAGCTAAGTGAATACATTTACTTTCTGAGCTGTGAGCAGAGAACCTAAACTAGAACAAACTCCACTCTAGTTCAAAAGGACAGAGTGAAGTTGGGAAACACCTTGTTCCTGTCACAGGAAGACACAGTGCCATCCAAGAATGACTCTCTTAGCATTGGGGTTTTTGGTTCTCTGTGTGTGTGACATTCATCAGATTCACTACAATATGTAACCATCACCACGATCCATTTTCACATTTTTTCATCACCCTTAATCAATAGCTTCCCCCTTTCCGTCTCCCACAGGCATGTCTGTCTCTATGAATATTCATATTCCAGGTATTTCATAAGGAACCCCACTGGTGCAATGGTTATGTGCTTGGCTGTTAACCAAAAAGTTGGAAGTTCAAATCCACCAGACAGCTGCTCTTAAGGGGAAAAGACAAAGCCATCTGCTTCTGTAAAGATTATAGCCTAAGAAACCTTATGGGGCCGTTCTACTGTGCCTTATATGGTCATTATGAGCTAGAATGGACTCAACAGGATAAGTAACAGATATTTCACATAAATAGAATCATACAATATTGTTCTTTAGTGTCTCATTTCTTTCACTCAGCATAAGAATTCCAAGGTTCATCCGTGTTGTAGCATGTATCAGGACTTCATTTCTCTTATGGCAGAATAATAGACTCCTGGTGTGGCGCTCTAGGATAAGCACTGGACTGCTAATCACGAAGTTGGTGGTTCAATCCCATCTACCACTCATTGGAAACCCTATTTAGGGTTCCTATGAGTCAGAACCATTTCAATGGCACTTAACAACAAAAACTTTATGTATCGTATTCACCTGTCGATGGACATTTTGATTATGCTCACCTTTTGGCTATTGTGAATAATAAATACCACAACGGACACTGGTTTACAAGTAGCTTTGAGGCCTGGCTTTCAAGTCTTCTGGGTATGTATCTAGGAGTGAAATTGCTGAGTCATATGGTAACTCTATGTTTAACTTTTTGAGGAATTACCAAATTGCTTTCTGTATGTAGTGGCTGTGCCTTTTTTGCCAACACTTGTTTTCCATTTACATAAATTTTTAAGTGCATACTTTGCAGTTTCTTAGTGTCTCTCATTCTATAGGGAAAGATCTCGTTTCTTTGCCTTGTCTATTTTTCTAATTCTTATCATCTTATCACACCTACAGGCAATATGCTTTGAAATAAAATGCCCTCCCATAGAAGGCAACAGGAAGCAGAAATGATACAGTGGTTCATAATCTTTAGCTTTTACTTGAACCCTGATTGTATAACTCAGCTATTCCTCTCTAGGCCTCAACTTTTCCTCTTTAATGTGGGGAAACACAATGCATACAACTAATAATTGTTATAAAGGTTAGATCCAATAACAAAATGCTACAGAAAGATATTATTATGTGAATGCTAGGTGCTCAACATACTTGGATCTGTGAAGGTTTTAATGAGCTCTTCCATTGCCAGCATCCAAGAAACAGCAAGATGACAGTTTTGCAGAAATACCCAGTTGCCTGTTTTCATTGCATCCCTGATCATTCTCTCAGCGATGGGTCCTTGTCCTTGCCCCAGTGAAATCGACTGCACCCTGAATTAGACAACAACATAATACTGCTTTATGTTGCTTGTAAGACTGTTAAGCATTAAGAAATACATAGTAGGCTAGTGCCTACAATGGAGTCCTGGTGTGG